TACTACTATATATATATATATATATATATATATATATATAAGGAAAAAGTTCATATACGTCCATGTGCATACCGCTACAGTAAAACCCAACAGCCAAGATCGAATCTGGGCCGATCTGACGATCACGGTTATCCGAAAGTGTTTGAATTTTAATTTTTTTTCTACAAATCGAAATGATATGAGATTTGGAGCTTGTGTACATCTTAGTGAGGTATACCTAATAAAAATATTAAAAAAATAATTCATGAAAAATATATTGACGAAAAAAGCCCTGAAACTTTTCGAGAGTATATATATTTTAAATCTTAAACATAGTGTATCTCGTAACACATTATCTAGGCCATCCATTTTCAAGAATTTCATATGTTTATAGATCTATTTGCTTTGAAACATTTTTTTTTAGTTTAAAATTTCATAATTAGCAATGAAAATATATTCTTGAGCCATCCCAAAAAAAATTTACATCAAAATTGCATCTTATGACAAAGTTTGGAAGTGCACCTTAATTTGATTCTTTAAGTTGCAACCTTACCCAAACCTCACCCTTAAAGTATAGAATTTATTCGGAGTTAATATTTTGATGTCAGTGGCTACGGGAAGGTGGCAATTGGTTGGGTTCAGTTGGACCCGCACCTAGACCCCAATAGTATTCAGGTCCAAGTATTGGACCTTGACCCAACCCGTCGGGTCTCAGGTCCGGTCGAGTCCGTTGCCACCCTCACTATGAGTTTTTTTTTTTTGTGCTCTTCTTTTACCATCATACACCCATATTATTGAGATGGATGAGTGGGGTGGAATGTTGTGAGACCATCTTTGTTTTATAGGGCAGACTGTTGGCCAAACAAAAAACAATATACCCAAAGAATGAGTAAAGCGGGGATTGAAACATTGAGATGGATGAGTGACATGACAAGAAGGGATAGAATTCAAAATGAATCCATTCGAGAGAAGGGATAGAAGGGATCACAATCACCCATTATTAGAGTTCAAGCCATCTAATTTGTTGTTTAGTAGCTAAAGATGACTACGACTTCTTATTGTACGCTCTTTAATACACCCAAACGAATAAGGCTTAAAATAAAATATTTTATCTCCAACCGTTTACGGGGAGAGGTCAGGTTCAGCTACCCTAACCCATACCTAAATAGTGTTCGGTTCCAGGTTTTGGACCCAAACACAGCCCACGGGTCCAAATGCTAGACTATGTCCGGTATACCCAGCGGGTCCCACGTCGGGTCCATGTCCATTACCACTCCTAGTGGCTAGTGTACTAAAAGTACTTGTAGTGTTATATTCGTATGCTCCCACGGGGGCACATCATTTTTGGATTGATACTTTAGGACAGGAAAGATGGCCAATTTTTAAGTTCAAGAATTCATCATCTACAAGCCGGCTAACAAAACTTATTTCCGAGAACGCGTTGCGATCTTGGACCAGTTCTTTCACTTAAGGTTCAAAATAATGAAATTTTGGTAATCAAGGTGACAGGAGGTACCTTTGTGTAATGGTAACGATCCGTTATAAAAGAAAACAGTTGAAAAGTCAAAAGGGCAAAAAAAAAAAAAATAAAATAAATTAATGATAAAAGGGAAATTAGGAATGTCTTTAAAGGAAGATACAATAATCCTTTTGTATTATTTCAAATGAAGTTCTATTGTATTTAAACTATAAACATTTTTTCTTCTTTTGGTACTTTCGATCTTTAAAAACTCAAATACGTTTTCCAGTCCTTGAGTTTATTATAGGTAAGGAATCTCGTTTAAATCAGTGTAGTATAAAAAATAATAAAAATTATGATAAATTATGAAATCAGAGCAAATATTTTATTTCGATGCATACATGTGCTGATTACAGACCTATTCCTTTTTTCGTAGCAAGGCAAGGATTTTCTCCCGAAGTGGTTTTTTCTTCCTTTTTTTCAAGAAACACGAGTTTTGGTTCACCCCCTTAAAAGAAAAAAAAATTACTGAACTTATTAAATTACTCTCTCATTCAATTTTTCTAAATCTATTGTTTAGTTATTTGTTTTAATCTTATTTGGACTTTCAAGGTTGCTTTATAGTTTATAATTTTAGCTCCATGTTTGATTATAAATAGAGACCCAAGCAATCAGGAAGCATGCCATATTCATACTCCCTCACCACCTCTCTAGTTTAAGTTTATTAGCAGTAGTGCTGCAATTGTCAACTACTAACCACTCAAGCCCACACCCGATTGATTCTTCGTCATCGCTCTCGAGTCTTAAGGGACACCGAGAGGCTGGAAGTGGAAGTTTATACAGCAAAGTCGAAGGAAATGGATGTAGAAATCCTGAGCTCCACAAGCGTGAAGGCTTCAGCGGCCGTGGTCGAGGGCTTGATCCCCCTCACCATCTTTGACAGGGCAGCCTTCGACCTCCATGTGCCTGTCATCTATGCCTTCCGGGCGCCTATGCCCAGCAATGACGCCCTTAAGCACGGCCTCTCAGAGGTCCTCAGCCACTACCCGAAGCTCGCGGGCCGCCTCTCCACCGATCCCGTCTCAGGCCTCCCATGTATCCTCCTCAACAACGCTGGTGCCAGAGTCGTAGAGGCTCGTGTGTCTGCCCCTCTAGCCACCTACCTCCCGTTGCACTCATCCCCGGCCCTCTCAATTCTCCATCCCCTCATCGATGAGACTGTGGAGGAGCTTCTTCAGGTGCAAATCACTCGCTTCTCGTGTGGGGGCATCATCCTCGGCACCACCGGCCACCACAAAGCTGCCGATGGGCAGTCGATGAGCATCTTCTTCCTTGAGTGGTCACGCACTGTGCGAGCCATGTCCGAGGGAGGGGACCCACCCCCGCTGCCAGCGTTGGCCCCTGTGCATGACCGTTTGATGCTGGCACCCCGTGACCCTCCCTGCCCCATGTTTGGGCACCGTGAGATTGAGTTTCAGTCAGTTTCCAAGGCCCCAGCCTCCGAGCCGCCTGCCCAGTTTGAGAATGTGGTTGTGCATTTCCCGGCTGAATTTGTGGCCTCCCTGAAGGCCGCAGGCGGTGGCCGCTACTCCACATTCGAGTGCCTGCTCGCCCATGTCTGGAAGAAGGTGACGATCGCACGCGGTATCAACACCAAGGCCGATACCCATGTGCGGATCGCAGTGAATGGGCGTGCGAGGCTCTGGCCTCACGTTCCAATGGGCTATTTCGGTAACCTTGTCCTGTGGGCTCATCCAAAGCTCAAGGCTGAGGAGCTACTTGCACTGAACATAGCCGATACAGCAAGGGCGATACATGAGAATGTCGGTAAGATTGATGATGCCTACTTCCGATCATTCATCGACTTTGGGGCACTGGCACAAGAGGAGGAGCTGGTGGCGACTGCACCAGCCGAGGGCACCTCACTGTCGCCCAATTTGGAGGTCGACAGCTGGCTGCGTTTCGACTTCGGGGACCTCAATTTTGGAACTGGTGGCCCCTGCGCCTTCCTCCCGCCATGGCTTCCCATTGAGGGGCTCCTCGTATTTGTGCCTTCCTACAAAGAGAAGGGTGGAGTCGACATGTTCATGGCCATCTCTCCCGACCACCTCCCCAAATTTCAACAGATTTGCCGCTCCTTGGACTGAGAATCACTCAGGAGATCCACTCAAGACCACCATCTTTCTGTAATTCTAATCGACCTTCCCCCAACTTCCTCTTTCCTTATTTATTTATTTGTAGTCTGTACACATATTTTTTCATTTAATACACATAAATTAGTAAGGAAAAGTATATAAAGAGATTCCTTCCTTTTTTTCTTTTTTTTCTTTTTTTATGAGGAGGTCATAATTACTTTTATCGGTTTTAAATCGGCGGTAAGATTGTCATTGAGTAATTTCAATGTTCAAAAAAAATATTAAAATTTTGTGAAAGATTTCAAGCCATCAAATTTAACACTAGGAATAATTATGACCTCTTTATAATAAAGATAAATGGCCTCACAATATATAGCTCATATTTTATTCATCCATAAAAAAAAATGGTTTGATAGGGTTGTAACTCTATCAAAACAAGTAAAGCCTTGACTCATAACTCATCAAAATTACAATTCAAGCATTAAAAACTTTTACATGGCTTGAATATTATGGTTGTAAAAAAAAAAAGATTTCAATTCTAAAAATAGTATACATTATAACAAATTATCTATATCCTCTATTTCACTTTAAATATAAGTGTTTATAGATCCACAAGATTTGTAATATTTTTTTAATATCAAATTTCATTATCAATATCGAAAATTGATTTTAGAACCATCGTATATATTTTCCGTTACGGAAAGTCCTTTTAAGAAATGGATTTGAGGTGAGATTTTATTTTAGAAGGAAGAAAGCAGCACCATTTCTTTGGATTTGAGGTGAGATTTTATTTTAGAAGGAAGAAAGCAGCACCATTTCTTTGACATGACCGCCCAGTTGGAAGCGTTCTCTCTCTCGACCTTTTGTCTTCTCTCTCTCTACCTTCACACCTTATCCGCCTTATATGTCCGAATGGATGGGCAATACCAACACCACCACGCAATCGTGCGCACGACCTTTACTGACGAAACTGTAGCTCGGTGCAGGAGCATAATGTTCATTTATTCCCCTGGCGCAAAACGCATATTTAGAGGATTTTTTTTATTTAAATGGAAAAAATTTATATAAAGTTAAAGCTTTAAATTATAGAATTAAAGTACACATAAAAAATCCATAGAATTATGTTGCACATAAAAAATCCAGCGGAAAGACATTTTAATGCAGGTGAACCATCTAATTGATCATCTCAATATTAAGATGCATCGATATTGAAAAACAAAAAAGATTTCTAAGTCTAAAAACTAACAAAAAAGATTTCTAAGTCTAAAAATTAGTATAATATGGACCATCCATTTTCAAGATTGTCGAATATTTATAGATCTACTTGATTTAAAAAAAAAAATAGTTTAAATTTTTATAATTAGAGATGTAAAAATATTATTGGGCCATCCTTAAAATTTTCAGCATAAAAAGTTGCTATCTTATGACAACGTTTTAAAATGCGCATTGTTTAAGATTTCAACCTTAGGCAAACCTCACCTCATCCTCAAACTATATAATTTATTAAAATAATACTTAATTTTGTGTTCGGAATTTATTTTTTGAGTGTTGGTGGATAGGGTCCTAAAAATACTTAAAGTTCCACAAGTGAATATTTGTATGCTCCCACGAGGGCATATCATATTTTGGCTTGGAAATTTTGAAACAAAAAGGTGGCCAATTCTTGAGTAAAAGAAATAATCATCAAGGCGCGGTCCTCAAAACTCATTTCGGAGTCTTAGTCGTTGTTTTTTGTTTTTTTGTTGAATATTCAACGTTAGTACAAATCTTTCTTTTTCCTTGCTTTTCTTTTGTTTGAAAATTCAATGTTAGTTGCAATCTTGGACTTCAACCCTTTCACACAAGGTTGGAAATAATGAAATTTGGGTTATCCAAGGGACAGGAGGCACTGTTACCTTTGTGTAACAGTAACGGTCCGTTGTAAAAAAGAACAGTTGAAAAGTCAAAAGAGCAAAAAAGAAAACGGAAAGAAAATAATGGTAAAGGGTGAATAGAGTATTATTTTTGTATTATTTCAAATGAAATTCTATCATATTTAAACTACGAACATTTTTTTCGTCTTTCGGTAATTTCGGTCTTTAAAGACTCAAATACGTTTTCCGGGCCCTGAGTTTATTTCAGATAAGGAAACTAAAAAAAAATCAATGTTGTATAAAAAATAAAGAAAATTAAGATAAATTTTTATATGTTACTCCACTGTTTTTGTTGATAAGTTGTGTGTGTTTGTCGTTATATGCCCTGTTTTTATGTTTTTTTCTTTTCTGTGTTTTTTTTTTGTCTTTCTAGATGTCTTCGACTGCAAATCAATTTTTCTAAATTTATTATTTGCTTTTTTTGTTTTTAAGAAAAATGATTTGATAAGGCTGCAACCCTATCAAAATATGTAAATCCTTACTACATAACTCATCAAAAATTTCAAGTGACGCATTGGAAAACCTTTGCATAGATCATCTCGATTTGAACATTATGGTTGTTTAAAAAAAAAAAAAAATTTAAACTGTAAAAATAGTATATATTATAACAAATTATCTAGACCATCTATTTTGTTTTAAAAAATAAGTGTTTATAGATCTGCAAGATTTGTACCTTTTTTTTTAAGTTTCAAAATTCATTATCGGTGTTGGAAATTGTTTTTAGAGCCATCATAGAGATTTTGATCACCAAAAATACTTTCCGGGCGAGAATTTCAGGTGAGGTTTTATTTTGTTTTCATAAAGACTAGGCCTTATAAAAATTTTATTCTTTTTTTAATCTTATTTGAACATTCAATGTTGTCTTTTAGTTTATAATTTTAACAACAACTTTTATTTATTTTTTATTAAAAAGAAATCTCCGAGTTTTATTCTGTTAAACTCTTGGCTCACTGTTAGTCTCCTCCTTTATGTCTCCATCGACCCATGGATGGCTCCCACTAATTATAGCCTTTTGTTTGCATATCTGAAATGGTTAGTTTACTTGTACAAGAATTTTAAGAGCTTGTCTTCTCTTGATGCTCTGATAAATAGATTGGGTATTTAGAAAATGTTGAGTGGGATGAAACTCGTAATTATTGAGGCCTCTTACCATTCTCTCTCTCTCTTACACTGTATACAAGTTTGAAGTCATATGATATCGCTTGATTTTCAAAAACAAATTCAACATAAAGCAGTCCGATGATGTTAACATCAGATCACATGATTCACCAAGAAAAAAAAAAAAATGGTCCGGTAATTATAACATCGAACTGCATATTTCACATAAAAAAATCAATAAAAAACAGTCCGGTATTAAATGGTTCTAAATCCGAAGCCCTTGGTTCACTTTAAAAAATCAACATAATATGGTATGATGGTTTTGACATCAGACTGTTTGTTTTACTAAAAAAAAATCAACAGAGGGCAGTCTGATGGTTCTAAAATCGAATTGCTTCGTTCATCTAAAAGAAATCAACGGAAGCGGTCCGATATTTCCATCATCACACCAAAAATAAATTTAAAAAAAAAAAAACCATCCTTTCTGATAATAATAACGCCATATCATTATAACCTTAATAAATAAAAATAATAAAATAAAATAAAAAACGCGTTCGGTAAGTAAACGTCCCTACTTTCATGCCATTAATGCTCATGCTCTTTCATCCCACTCCACAACTTTAGCGAGTCAATAGTCGTAAGGAAGGATGTACGAGAGGGAGGGAGGGTGAGAATTATATCATCACAACGGCCTCCTCACGTCTCGGAGACCTTTAGACCCTTTATGAAATAAAAAAAAATGTCCCCACTTTATAAATGAAATCATGAAGCATGCCATGTCCATACTCCCTTACCACTGAAGTTCAGCCGTAGGAACTGAACTGAACTGAACTGATGTTGGGATACAGTGTTGCAATTGTCAACTACAGAGCCCAAGCCCCACTGCGGAAAGCGGAAGCCGAAGCAAAAGTAGAAGCGGAAGCGGAAGCGGAAGCGGAAGCTTATACACAAAAAATGGATGTAGAAATCCTGTCCTCCACAAGCGTGAAGGCAGCAGTGGCAGTGGGCGAGGTCGAGGGCTCGATCCCCCTCACCATCTTTGACAGGGCAGCCGTCGACCTCCATGTGCCTACCATCTATGCGTTCCGCGCGCCTATGCCCGGCAACGACGCCCTCAAGCGCGGTCTCTCGGAGGTCCTCAGCCACTACCGGCAGCTTGCAGGCCGCCTCTCCACTGATCCAGTCTCGAGCCTCCCATGTATCCTCCTCAACAACGCTGGTGCCAGGGTCGTCGAGGCTCAAGTGTCCAGCCCTCTAGCAAACCACCTCCCGTTGCACCCATCCCCTGCCCTCTCAATTCTCTATCCCCCCATCGATGAAACTGTGGAGGAGCTTCTTCAGGTGCAAATCACTCGCTTCTCGTGTGGGGGCATCATCCTCGGCACCACCGGCCACCACAAAGCTGCCGATGGGCAGTCGATGAGCATCTTCTTCCTTGAGTGGTCACGCACAGTGCGAGCCATGACCAAGGGACAGGACCGGCCCCCACCGCCAGTGGTCGCTCCTGTGCATGACCGTTCAATGCTCGCACCCTGTGACCCGCCCTGTCCCAAGTTTGAACACCGCGAGATTGAGTTTCAGTCAGGTGCCAAGGCTACAGCCTCCCAGCCGCCTGCCCAGTTTGAGAATGTGGTGGTGCATTTCCCTGCAGAATTCGTGGCCTCCCTGAAGGCTGCTGGCGGTGGCCGCTACTCCACATTTGAGTGCCTCCTTGCCCATGTCTGGAAGAAGCTGACCATCGCACGCGGCCTCGACGCCGAGGTCGATACCCATGTGCGCATCGCAGTGAACGGGCGTGCAAGGCTCGGGCCTCACGTTCCAATGGGCTATTTTGGAAACCTCGTCCTGTGGGCTCATCCCAATCTTAAGGCCGGAGAGCTACTTGCTCTAAACACAGCTGATGTAGCAAGGGCAATACACGAGGGTGTCGACGAGATCGACGACGCCTACTTCCAATCATTCGTCGACTTCGGAGCAGTGGCACAGGAGGAGCTGGTGTCGAGCGCACCAGTAGAGGGCATCTCACTGTCGCCGAATTTGGAGGTCGACAGCTGGCTGCGTTTCGACTTCTGGGAGCTCGATTTTGGAACTGGCCGGCCCTGCGCCTTCCTGCCGCCATGGCTTCCCTTTGAGGGGCTCTTCATATTTATGCCTTCCTACAAAGAGAAGGGGGGAGTTGACATGTTCTTGGCCATCTCTCGTGACCACATCCCCAAATTTAAGCACATTTGCCACTCCCTGGACTGAGAAGATCCACTCGTCTGTAAGAACAAGCCCTATGAATACACCACGATGTTTGAATAATAATTGTTTGTTTATGTATACTTTTTTTGTCCTTTTTTTTTTTGCCAATCCTTCTGCTTGCTTGTTGATTCCATTCCCTATCTTAATAGAGCAGTTTATAAGTTGGAAATCAGGTCTGGGGTTAAGTGGTTAGACATTTAACAGTGCTATATCTGAAGTTCAATTCTTACTACTGAACTACCCTTATAAATAAATAAATAAAAATCAGTTTATATGTTCATCAAGAATAAATAAAAATGCAGCGCATGGGATTTTATGAAACTGAAGTGCATTAGGTCACTACATTGGCTGAGTCACCCTCTATGATGATCAAGTTATGTGAAGACAGTAAGCACATAACACCTTGTTTTAGGGCCAAAAATTCAGCTTTATTAACAGAACAAACATTGCAAAGTCCTTAGAATGGTACCAAAATGTTAGCAAACTCTTCCCTATAGCGTCAAACGAGCCGGCGGGTCCTGGCCCAAAACAGTATAAGGCTGCGCTTGGGCTTGGAAATTTAGTTTGGGCCAGGCCCAGCCCAAATTCATAACAATGAGGCCAGAGCCCTCGGCCGATTCTAAAAATAAGGTTGGGCCAAGCCACGACCTACCCTAACATAAGAATATATAATATAGATTTAAGTTTTTATGGACCGGGCCATTGCTTGCCCGAACCCTTGTGCACAGTTCTTAATACGGAGCCTGAAAATGGGCCCAGCCCTGACCTACTCATCCTAAGATGATGCCGTATTCTTCCCCATTATTCCCAAGTTTCACTTGGTTATGGATTTAAGCGATGTATTAGTTTAAGGAAAAAGTTTATATAAGGCGGCAATAGAAAACCTTCAAATGGATCATTTCGATCTCGAGATTCATATAAAAGAAAAAAAAGGGAATTTCTTGTCTTAAAAGTAGTTCACCTTTTAACACATTTTGGACCGTCCATTTTTAAGATTTTCAAGTGTTTATATATCCGCTTGATTGTCACCCTTTCTAAAAATTTAAATCTCATAATTGAGGGCAACAATAGATTTTCATATAATCGCAAGGCTTTAGGGTATCAAAAGGGCATTTTCGATATAATTTTGAGGTGCACCTTACTTCGGTTAACGCTCTATACAAACCTCACCCTTAGTTTAAAGGCATAGATCTCAACCGTGTATCTCCGGTATATAAAAAAATCACGACGGTCCCCGAGTTTGTTTAGGTTTGGAAGATGGGGTAGGCGAAAAGATGTTGGTGAGATGAGGATGTTTGAATGTGAGATGAGGATGTTTGAATAATGGTAGTTGATTGAAAACCATCGTGACACATAAAGTGGGTCGGTGGGTGGACGGTGCGGCCAAATCTAATCCATTGAGAAGGATTTTTCAAAGGCAAAGACACACGCGACTCCTCACTTGTTCCATTTTTTTAATCGTCATAACAAAAATGCTCTAAAATAGGCTATTATTACTCACAGGTCAGCCCATCAAAATTTTATTTATTTATTTGTTAAATTTGCCCCTGATTTGATTTTTTTATCATCCAACTGCTAGGTGGTTACCATTTGATTTCCTATTTCAAATCGGATCGGTATTTGAAGCATAAGACCACTCATCTAATACAAAACTCATAACAGAAGAAGCCGGTCAGTTGTTGCAAAATTCAGACCGCCTTACATGTACAAAATGATAAACCGCCTTTTCACACAGCAAAGAAAATTGCTGCCCAAGATTGTTCCAACTTTGATTTATTCAAGTTTCAAAGCATTCAAAGTAAAACTAATCACAATGCTAAGTGTGGATGCATTTTGGATAAAAAACCTAATAAATTGATATATGCTAATAATTGTCATATCAAAACACTTTCTAAATGATTGTCGGCCTTGCGTACTACTGCAAAAGTCGGATAGCCTTACATGTATAAAATGATAACAAAAGGCGGTCCGATATTTAGAGAGAGGAAAAATCTATATAGATGAATGCGGCATGGCGGAAGAGAGAGAGTGTTATAAATATTGGGAAAAAAAAAAATAGGGGCGTTTAAGCCCCATCCACCTGATTTATTAAAAAGAATACTAAAAAGTGATCCGATATAACGAATATTGGATTGTGGGTAAAAATAAAAAATAAAAAATAAAAAACAAAACGACGTATTGGGACCTCTGCATAATTTTCACATTTCTGGGGCCAAATTGTAATAATGGTTTAAGAAAACGGTGGAGATATAATTTTCCCCACTCACTTGAGTCCTAATTTCTTGTCAACATGTTCTTAAGGGGTTTTTTTTTTTTTGAATAATTCAAGGGAAGAGAAGCCCCGTGGGCAACGTCAACGTGATAACGTTGCCCAACGTGATAACTACGTATAGGGTGCTACCAGCACGACCGTTTTTGTGCTGCTCTATTTTCGAGTAGATTTTGGAGCTTGGTTAATAACGGTAGAGTCATCGTCTTTTCCCTTCTTTATTGTGGTACTCATTTATCAATCATAGCAAATGAATAACTAACATTCGTAAACAAAATGCGAGGTGAGGTGAGATTTCTCGTTGTTTGGCTACGCATCGAAACTCCATTATTGGATTGGGTGAAGATGGCAAAGCCCTCATGCTTTATTCAACATTGATCCCGCTTTTGCTTTTGAAGTGCATGGAACGATGGAATATCATAAATCAAAACGACTAAAATAGGATAGGGTGCATCTAGGTTATGAAATGAAAATAGCTAGCAGCTTTGGCCATGTTTCCTATAACATCTTGAAGAAAATAATGGAAATTTACATATAGATCGGATTTTTTTACTTATATAACGGTATGGCTCGAAAATAGGCGGTTATTATTTAGAAAGGCACATCTATCATTTTTTTTATCATTTTTTTTATTAATGAATCCATTTGTTGGTAACAAATAAAATCGCGGCTTTTGGTTGGATCTTTTCGCAAGAGCTTAAATCAAGAGTGTAGCAGAGTTTCCAGTGCCCAGCGGCAAGAATTGGTGTGGTCCTGAATCCTGAGAGAGGCTTGCCAAAAAACTAGAGGTGCTGGATCACCTACGATCTCACTCGTATGCCCGCTTAGACTAAAGGAAGCCCACAGCCATTAATTGCACCATCAGCCAAATCCTCCTTTTTCCATTGCCGTACACATCTAGCCAACTCTCTCTCTAAACTCCTCGTCTCTGTCTCAAGACCACGGAATCACCAGCATTGCCTGCTCATAATGCACGTTTCGTCCCCTATGTTTACCCCCTCTTTTCACTTAATAAAACAGTAAAGAAAGCAGTCTTATGTTGGGCAAACTTGATAAACATAAAAGTAAAAATAAAAATAAAAATCATGGATGTACCCAAGGCTCCTATACTTCCCTAAAGTATGGGAGTAGTTTTATTTTCCTCGGTCCCGAGGCATGTCCACACCTAGGGTTCCAGTAGCACAACTTAGTCTCAAGCAGCACAAATCTTAGACATCAAGGCCATGCTACTCCACCAAGCTGCTCCATGTGAATTCTCAATCTCAGCATGCAGATCCTTTCAGGTAATAACAGTCTATTTTCAAGCCATACCATTATAATGATAAAAAAATCCGATCCACACGTGAATTTCCCAAAAAAAAAAACATGCTTCTTAGGTCATCTAAGGAGAAATGAAAAAAAGATAAGAGATAAAATAAAAATAAAAATAAATAAAAGGGCTATATCATAGCATAATGCAACCATACCTCTAGAAGACCATGTTTGAGGTATTTGTATGGTCCAAAATTGTGCTCACACTCTTTTCATCTCAATAATCAATCTAAATATAAAAAACTAATTTGTACCTTATATACAGATAAAATGAGTCCCCTCCAACAATGAATTTAGACCGTCCATTTGATAAATTTCAAGATCTAGGCCTTTATGAATTCAAAATAATTTTTTTACTTTTTATTATTGTTAATCTAATGATAATAAAATTATCTAAAAATTTTGGATAGAAAAAATATCATTCTAAAGCCTAGATCTAAGCATCTCATCAAAATGGAGAGCCTATATTAATTAGGCTAAAAAAATACTTTTTAGGTTGTGTTTTCAAATTTTTCATTTTTGTGATTGTTCATTAGAATGAAAAGAGTGTATATTTTAAAATTTGGATCAAACAAATAACCCTAACATTGATTTTTTAGAGTTGTTGCATTAAATCACTGCCCAAATAAAAGAGAGATAAAAATAAAAGGAAAAATTAGGCACAACAACCAACCAAAGCCTGAAGTTCGTAACCGATCAACCCCAAGCCCGGAATCTAAGTCAAGAAAATGAATTAGATTTTAGGATCTCCAACTGGATCTAAAAGCATGACTGTTAAAGACTACTTAAGAATCTTGTTGTCTAAAAATTAGGCACTCCTTGTTCAATCTTGGAATAATATCTTTAGACACATGAAGAGTGTGATTTATTTATTTATTTTGTTTTGGAGGTTAGCCCTTAGGTTCTTAGTGTTACGACCCCTATAATTTGGGGTCCTAAAAATGCTCCTAGCTTGAAATTTATAGTATGGAACAAATGAAAAATGAGTCCATAGGAGAAAGAAATGTTGTATCTCTCTCACACACATGCGCATCCACACACACAAATATATATATGGGAAAAGATCTTGTCAGCCCACCGGCTGATAGCCATAACATCAGCCACTGGCTCATATTGAATTTGGACCGATCTAAAGGTCACGACTTTCTTTCGTATTTGAATTTTTATTTTTTTTTCTACAAATCTAAATCACTTGAAATTTGGAATATCTATTCTTCAAAAATAGAAGAACCTAATAAAAATATAAAAAAAAAATTCAAAATAAAAATTGATAAAAATACCCTCAAAATATTTCAGGGGTATTTTGGTCACTTTATATTTTACACATTATTGTTTTTATATTTTTATTATGTACACCTTGATGAGAAGAATGGAAACCTAAAAACTCAAATGATTTGAATTTTTAGAAAAAAAATTAAAATTAAAATATGAAATAAGATTGTAAACGTCAGATCAGCCCAGATTGAATCTAGACCATTAGCTACTACTGTAGCAGTCAACCCATGGGCTGACAGAATATATATATATATA